ATTAAATTTATTCTAAATAGAGATATTTATATAAAAACACAAGCAACTTTTGAACGCCACTTTATGTGCTCGCGGGCTAAATAGTCAGGTCAGAGAGATTCGTATGATTCATATATATCTGTCCCTAATTTTAAACTAGTGACCAGAGGGAATGCAGCCAACTAGGAGCACCAGCCACCGTAAGTTTTATCTTTCTCCTTGATTCGAATAAATGGATTGGCTGCTATTTTTAAAATGCGTCCACAAGTGACACTGACGGTGTTATAGTGTATTTAGCAGCAGCAGTTCTCCGAAAGTCTCGAACCTCGGACTTTTAGACCAGCAGCTTGATACGCCAAAAAAAGAAGGAGAAGAAGAAAAAAAAAGACCACTCCCAAACCCCTAAAAAGTAATTTGGTGGATTCATACAATATAAGTTTTTAAAGTCCTTTGTACACTCTTCGAGATATAAAGACATGGTTTAAAAAATAACCACAAACAGGAATATACAAATTGAAGGTTTATGTGTGTAGAGTGATTTCTCTCAAAACTGACTCTTGTCTTCTGTCGAGAATTTTTTTTTTTCTTCATATAGATCTAGAAATTACTATCTTGTAGGGTTAGCATGAATTTATTTGTTTTCAAATATCGCTTTAAATCTTTAGAAATGAGCTACTTTTCTTTTTTATCTCGGCAGATAGTTTCCAAGCTGATATTAAAATTAAAGTAATTGAAAGCGAAGACTTACGTATTCCCCAACCATGGCAACAGGGGATAGAGCATCGTTGGTCCACTGACACAGCTGATTACAGGCAACACACATATTATGGAAACACGAATAGCAGCATGTGGGGGGAGAGGGGCCAGAAGGATGGGAATGCTGACCCGCAGAGAGAAACGTACACTCGGCGAGACGAGGACAGTCACAGAACCAACGATAGTTAACAGAAGCTGCAGCCGGGATCCTGTCGGTAGAGCCGTCGATCCCAAAGTTATTTGGCTCCCCACAAGCGCGCTCACTCCTGTCGCCAGTTGACACGAAACAAGATGGATTCATTTGTTGGCTGGACCAAATTAATTTCTTCACTTGTCTTCTTTCACAGCCTGGGGACAGATACGAGCAAAACATATAGGAAAGTTTGTTGTTAAGTTGTTAACATCGGCGCAGACGAAACACCTGTTGTGATGACTCATTAAGTTTGACACTTTATATTACAATTTAGGCTTAGCACAGCACTTTACTGATGGAACGAGCACGTGCACAGATATAAAGCAGTCAAGGATATTTTGGTTTCGTGGGCTTAAGGTTGTTCGCGCAGGCTTAGGTCACTCGAAGGGCGACTTTATTCACCCTTCCCGCACTCCCCACTACCACTCGCTCTCTAGTTTAAGAAAGGAGACATGACAACATTTATTATTATTCTCCCACAATCCTGTGCGATCCTTCGCCATATTAGGACACAAGATTGTGCAATAATCAAGGCTAAAAAAAAATATAAAAGACGTAGAGGTACACACGCGTCCTGAATGATAACGGAAAGCGGCGACAAGAAGCTCTACTGGGGTTGGTTGGCGACGGCAGAGTACTTGGTTGCTAGGCCGTCGCTGCCAGGATTGGAAAATTAGGTACAGGCATGCACGTGAATCGAGAACATACATGCGCAGTAAGGAGTTTATGTAGAGGTCAGCAACAGAACTAACGAGGCAAGTGAAACTTACACTGACGCAAAAAAAAAAAAACAACTTGTGATATTGCAAAGTCGATAGCGAATGATACTGGCATGATGTGTGTGTTGATACAGTCATTATCAGTACAATATATATATAAACCTATAATTATACATACGTGCATGCTATCACCCATGTACATTGTAATGACCATGACTTGTGTCTGAGGGCACAGAGATGGTGTTACCACATACCAAATATAGACCGCTAGGTGGCAAATATAGTAGCAATCGAAGATACAAGTACCACAGCCTTTTTTTTGCCCGTATATTAAATAAAGCACGTGCCTAGACTCAGCCAGTAAACAGTTATTAGTTTTCAGAGTCAGCATAGACAAGAGATCCATAAATCTCTGATTGACGAATGAAATAGTTGAATAAATGTCAGTTTTGTGTCTTTTTTTTTATTTCTTCTTTTAATGCCAGCAACTTTCTGGAGGTTTGATTTGTTTTGAATTTCTCTAAGTTTAATCTGATAAGTCTAGAGCAGTGGTCGGCAACCTTTTTTGATCGCGGGTCAACTATTATTTTTTTTTTTTTTGAAAAATTTAGCATTGTGTTGGGTCAGTGATAATCATATAATTATTAATACCGGTACATGTATTTTAAATGTGTATGTTTATTTACATACCAAAAAGGCCCGGCATGGCCAGGTGGTTAAGACGCTCGACTCGCAATCTGCG